GCAGGACAATGTCACCTGCCCCTGTCCCTGGGTATCACAGGACAATGTCACCTCCCCCTGTCCAGAGTGACCCTGACAGCCCTGGCTGCTGCAGAGAGTGACAAGCTCAGCAAACTGTCTGGGGTGGCCTTGGACACCTCCACGTCCCTTGGAGAGAACCAGACACCACTTCAGCGCTGTTTTCAGCCTGCTGGGCTCCGAATCTGAGCAGGAACCTTCTGCTCTCCTCGAAATGCTCGACACCAAGCAGAGCCAGGGGGCCCCAAACCCTCAAGGACAGTGTCCCTACAAAGCTGAGGGATTCCTCCCTACAATCCCTACCCTGGGAATGGCCAAGACCCTCCACAGCCATGATTTCCACCAGCTCCTTCTCTACAGGTTTGAAGAGAATCAGCAAATTTGGCCCCAAATGCCACAGCAGAGAAGCAGTAAAGGGAGAAGAAGGACCCCAAAAACCACCCTGTTCTCTCCCTAAAGGAACTTTTCTCCTTCTCTGCTCCAATTTCAGTGCGAGGGCCAGGCTCTTCCCCAGCTGAGAGGAAGCTGAGCTGCTCCTTTGGCTCTTTGGACAGGACTAAGAGCTGAAATTGGGAGCTTGCTCCCCCTCAAAGTGTCTGTTAGCATTTCAGTTATGGGCTGGGAGCTGGGAGCCAGCTCAGGGCGGAGGAATCTGGGTTGTTACAGCTCAACCCTAAAGAACTTTTTACTCCCAGAATAGTCCAGGAGAAGAGGGAGGAAAATTGAAGGTGGCAGAGGGAAGACGAGGCTTTTGCTTAAAAGGAAGAGGGTTATGATAGAGGGGGCTGCAAATAGGAGGATCAGCAGGGAAATTTGCTGTGAGGTTAACTGAGAACCTGCTGGGGGGTTGTCCATAAGAATTAACCTGGAATTCAGTATCCTTGGGCTGTAGATGGCAGCCAGTCCCTCCAGTTTATGCCAAAAATGAGTGGAAGGTTTTAGGACAGGCAGGGGAATGAATTTGGAGAGTTTGGACCCCTCTTCCTTTCCCTGCAGTGCAGGAGGGGACAGCCCTGTGCCACCCAAACCATTCCGTGTGGAGGGGACCGGCTGCTCCCCCAGGAATGTGTCCCAGCCCATTCCCAACTTCCATTTCATCACACACTTTCTCCAAAAGCCATCTCACCCCCTGGAGCAGCAGTTCTCCAAACCATGTGCTTCTCCCTTTTATTCTGGTTATTATTGCAGCTCGTACCAGGCTGGTGGAGGCTCTGAGGGAAGGGACCAGCTCGTTATCACTCGGGTCCCTTAAAGGCTCATTAATCATCCGAGCCTGGCTGGGCAGCTCGGAGCAGTTGGGAACGCCTGAAGGCTGCTGGGACAGCACGAGGAGGCTCCTTAATGCCTAAAATTATTTAAAGGAGCCCTTTCCATTTCACATTCTGCCAGAGAGGACAATCAAAGCCTCTGGATTCACAGATGGGTCAATACTGGGAACAGGCACATCCTAGGGAGGGTGGGGAGCTCGGGCTTCCATCCCTGGCAGTGTCCAAGGCCAGGCTGGACGGGATTTGGGGCAGCCTGGGACAGTGGAAGGTGGGCAGGGGGGTGGAATGAGACGATCTTTGAGGTCACTTCCAGCCCAGCCCATTCCATGGTTTTTTTACAGGAATCCCAGGTCCCCTCTGGCTCCTGTCCCCACCACCCTGCTCACACCCGCGGCTGCCTGGGGATGCTCCACCCTGGCACGGGGCTGTTGGGGGCTGGCACTGCCCAGGGGAGGAGCAGCAGAGGGGATTCCATGGCTTTGTCCTGCCCCGTTCAGATTTGCTGATCCATGAGCTCACAGGGGCAGCTGTTGCAGCGCTGAGATGATGTTCCCGGCAGTGCTGGCGCTGCTGCCAGAGCCTGGAGTCAGCAGAAAAAAAAACCTTCCCAGGCACACAGAGCCCCCCAGACTGGGCAAAGATGCTGGGAGGCTCCTGGCAGCCGGCTCCAGCTTTAGCAGAGGTTCCTTGGACAGGCTGGTGCTCCCAGGCCAGCCCAGCYGGCAGGAACAGGGAGGGTGATCCCTTCTTGGGAGCTGTGAGTGAMACAGGCTGGGGACATCCTGGGACAGCTCTGAGCAGCCTGGAGACCCCCACAGCCACAGGCACTGCCAGCCCAGCCCACAGCCCCCTGAGGATGGTCCCTCTGAGGTTGGGATGCAGTTCCTGCAGCCACAGACGGCTCAGCCGTGTGGAGGGGGAGGTCTCAGGAGTGACTGAGCACAATTCCAGCATTGCTGCCTCTCTGCAACATTACAGGGTCTAAAAATCCCACCGGRCTTCCTTCTCTGTGCCTCCTGAGCCTTTAAATTATCCTCACACTGGATTTGCTGCCCTTTTAAAAATTTTGTTGCAAACGCTGGGGTAGAAAACATCAGAGACCRCATCACATCCAGGAGCCACAGGCAGGCAGTGACCACCTGACGGRGAGGAGCAGCTCTGTCCTTCCCCAAAACCATGCCTCACTCCCCTCACCAGCTGAGCAGCCCCACCACTGCCCAAAACACGTCCCCCAGCCCCTGTATCCCCGGTAGGATCTCTGGGGAATCCCTTCACCCCGCTGTGGCTCTGCCAGGACAGCTCCTGCTCCCCAGCAAAGCCTCCCCTTGCTCCAGAGAGGTGAAGGGGACCCCCTGCTCCAGTCCTGCCCTGCCCAGGGGTGTCTCACGGTACCACCACCCATGGGAAGGGTATCGCAGCCCTCACCCGGCTCGGAGCGGGCAGCAGCGCTGGCTGTGTTCCCACGGCAACAGCCAGGCTGCCGGCTCGGGGATGCGCTCCGAGGCGCTGGGGACACCCCGAGCCGGGCACGGCGACAGCTGCTTAGGGCCGGTGTCCCCACAGCCCCAGACATGTCCCAGCACCCCCAGGCCACCGCCACTCCGGCTGTTTCCCGAGCTCCGGTATCCACGGCGCTGCTTCCCCCTCTCCCACCCTCCAGACCAGGCAGCCAGGCTGTGACACGGAACGGCTGCAGGAAGAGCCACGGTCCCCAGAGATGGAGGGTGGCCCCGTGTGGCACCTCCCCGGGCCGTGTCRCTGTCACAGAGCCCGGGACGGACGCGGGCTCACCTCCAGGACACGGCCGCTGATGTAGCGGTCACAGGTCTCGCACTTGATGCCGAACTGGGCGTGGTAGTCGGACTCACAGTACGGGATGCCATCCCTGGGGAGAGGGACGGCAGGGTGAGCGGCAGGTCMCAGCCCCGGCCCCGGGGAATGTCGCAGGAGGGAGGGTGGCACTCACTTGCTGATGTACTCGCCGGTGAGGATGATCCCGCACGTTTGGCACTTGAAGCAGCTGACGTGCCACTGCTTCTCCAGAGCCAGCAGCGACTGGCCCTGCTTGATCTCCTCCTTGCAGCCGGCGCAGTCTGGGGGACAGGAGGGCGTGTGGGACACGGCAGGGACACCCCCGGCTGCTGGGCCACCCCACAGCACCCCGGCTGTCCCACACCCAGAGGAAAGCCCTGCCCCGGGGCCCTTTCCAGGGCTGATGCTGTTATAAACACCACCCTGCTCCAAGGCAGCCTCGTGGGGATCGTCTCATGATGGAAATTTGTCACCTCTGCTTGTTCCCAGCACAGGAAGCACGAGGAGAGCTGGRGCTGGCACTGCTGGGGCTGGCACCCAGCCACAGCTCAGAGCTGTCCCTCGGGGTGACGAGGGTGAGCCAGGCCGGTGGATGGGCTGTGAGGGGGCCACKCTGGCCTGGCAGGTCCCCAAGGGTGGGAAGTGTCCGGCAGTGAGTGCTCAGAGGAAGGGCAGTGCTGTCCGGCAGCCGCGTCCGGCTGCACTCACTATTTACCAGACTCCCTTCCTTCCCCGCTTCCCCCGGCTCCAGCCAGGCGTGGAGCAGGAAGCACATGGGCCTCGGACCCCTGGCCTTGACTCCTCCGTGTCCTCTCCTCCCYCTGGGCACCAGCTCTGCCTGCAGAGGGGTTTTCCTTAACCCACTCCCTGCCACGGCCCCACAGAGCAGCAGGAGCGGACAGACCCATCCCAAATCCCTGCCTGCCGGGCTGAGGGGGGAAGAAGATTCCTGACCCCTGGGAAAAAGCAGGATCTGTTCCTTCACGCAGGTTTGGGTTTTTTTTTGCGGGGCTGGGGCTGCAGGGAGAGGCTCCATCCTCCTCCCAGGGATGCCTTCCCCACGGAATGCCCAGCAGCCCGCCCAGCTCCCCTGTCACCCCGCTGGTGGCACTGCCAGGGCCAGGGGGTGGCGAGGGACGCGTGCAGGAGGGGCAGGCTCTGTCTGCCTGCAGCTGCCATGAATAAGGCATGGTGTCCTCAGGTGACCCTGCTGCAGGGCCGGGAGGAGCTCCAGGAAGGGGATGGAAGGGAGAGGAAGGCAGGAGAGAGGCAGAGCCTGGCTCTGGGCAGCTCCAGGAGCCCGATGGGGCATTCCTGKCCCTTGGCTCATTCCAACCCTGCCACGTGCCCTCCATCGAGGCCATGGTGAGGGCTGGGGGGAGGGAGGCAGCTTTGGGGGGCTCCCAGGGGACCCCCAGCACCATCTCTGCCAGCAGCAATGCCACCATGGTGACGGGTGATGAGGACATGGGTGACAGCACGGTCCCAGTGCTGGCCTGGCTGCAGGACTCTGCTCCAGGCACTGATCTCAGGGCTGCTGAGCATGGCAGGAAGGGAAGCTCCTCCCAACCTGCGGTCAAGCAAGGCCAAATCCCCCCAAAAGAGCTCGTGCACTGCTCCAGCTGAGTTTTAGGGGTTCACCAGAGGTTCACCAGGACAAAAGGATAAGAACAAAAGCCTTTCAGGGCCTGCAGACACAGTGAGGGATGACAGTGCTGGGACAGTCCTGTGAGCAGAGRCACCAAAACAACTGACTCTGAGCAAAGCCAGCTCCAGAACCTCCCCATGAGCTCAGACAGYGCCTGCCAGGGTGGTGGCACCTGCCCAGGTCACACAAACAGGCCCAGGGGAGTTTCCGAAACCAGCAGTGTCCTGCAATCCTGGGTGGAGCCGCAGAACTGCCCTGTCCCTGTTCCCAAAGCCCTGTGACACCCTGGAGGGCTGCACAGGGACCCCAAAGCTGGCCTGTCACCCTCTCCGTGGGCACAGATGCCCTCTCCTTGTACCCATCACAGGACAGCAGTCAACTTACGGCTGGGCCCGTGGATCTTGATGGGCTTGGTGCTGAGCAGCGACTGGGAGCAGTTTTGGCAGACGCAGTCCTTGCCGCTGAACGTGACTTTATCTCCGATGGGGAACGGCTTCCTGCGGCCAGGGAGGGACAGGTGGGCAGGGTGAGCTGCTCATCTGCCCCCGGGCACTGCTGGGACTGCCCGGGAGCTCCTCCTTCACTGAGGGATTTCGGGGAGTCACAAACCTTTGGGGACAACTCGCACTCACCTGCAGGTGCTGCACACAAAGCACTTGGGGTGGTAGGTCCTGCCCAGCGCAGAGATGACCTCGCCGGTGATGAAGTCGCCGCAGCTGTCGCAGCGGGTCCCGTAGAGCTGCTGGTAGTCGTGGGTGCAGATGTACTCCTGGTTCTTGAAGAAGAAACCCGACTGCGCCAGGTCGCAGCCGCACACTGGGGACAAGGACAGGCGGCCGTCACGGCAGCGCCGGGAGCCCCGAGCCGCCTCCCCAGCTCCCTGCSGGTGTCTCCGAGGTTTTCCCGTGCCAGCCGGGCTCCGGGGCTCCCCCAGCACCACAAGATGTCAGTGTCGGGCTGCGGCGGGGGCGGGATGGGGCTGCTCCCGCAGGAATCCCGGTGCCGCTCCCGCAGCACGGCTCGGCACGGCACGGTCCGGCCATCCCCTCCCGCACCCGCCGCACCAGGCACGGCTCAGCCCCTCCGCTGGGCACTCCCATGGTGGCAGAAAGCTGAGGAGCTGGGAATGCCCCAGAGCCGGCTGGGGTCTCGTCCCTGCCCCTGGGCACGGCTGGCCGTGTGACGAGCCACCGCCACTCCCCGGACACGGAGCCCCGGCGGGAGCAGCCCCGGGAGCAGCGGGATCGGAGCTCTCATTGTTTGTGTTCCCATCGGTGCCCAGCCCGGCCTCGCCTCTCTCCCCGCCGTGGGAAGGGTGGCTGGTGCTCAGCCCATCACAGCAATGCGAGCAGACGTGGCCAGCACTGGCCCCTGCATCATTGCCCTCCACGGCTTCTCCGAGACCTGGAGAGCAGCAGAGCCTGGGYGTGGAGCGGCACAGGGCGCTCCTGGGGGCTTTGCACCATGCCCAACTCCTGCCCTGCAAGGTGACAGGGTGACAGGGGACCACAGAGTGACTGAGCACCCGCTGGCACAGCCAYAGCCCRCCTRGGTCTGTGCTTCATCCTTCAGCCCSCTSTGTCCTGTCCCTGCACCTGTGGGCAGCCCCACGGTGCCACCCTGCCCAGGTGCCACCCTGCCCMGGGTGACAGGGACAGCTGGACCCGAGGGCACAGAGATGCCCTTGTCATCCCTTGGCCGAGCTGCTTCCCAGCCAGGGGAATTTGGGTCTCCCAAACATCCTGTCAGCAAGGAGGGACAGGCCAGCAGCTCTGGGGCAGCCTCAGGAAGCACAAACCCGATAAAATGGGGCTGCTCTGTGCCCGTTTGCTGTGGGACCCACTGCTCATCCCATGGCTTCACTCCCGTGCCAGCTCCTCAGGGACAGGCAGGGGGGCTGGAGCCAGCCAGAGGTGGCAGGAGGTGAGAGCTTCGAGCGAAGGTGAGACAGGAGGATTTCCTCTCATTATTTATTCCCTTTCACTTGGAAATCGGGCAGCGAGCGCTGCCAGGCTATCCCCGCTGGCTGCCGGGCCCTTTGAAGCCGCGGCTGTCTGAGGCTTTGTCTGGATGCTCAGCTCTGCTGGATCCTCCACGGCCCAGCTGGGAGAGGGCAGCGTGGGCAGCAGGGGCTCTGCAGGGGCAGCTCAGCCCTCAGGGCATCCCAGGACAGATCCCCCTTCCCAAAAATCCAGGGCTACAGCAGGGTGGGGACAGCCCGGGGAAGTGTCACCTCTGGCCATTCGCTGTTCCTTCCCTGGAGAGGATCAGCAAAGCGTGGCCAAGGGGTGGGGATTATGTCCTGCTCAGCACGAGGTGCTGGGAGCTTGGAAAGCTTCAAAAAGCCCTGGGGTGGGAGATTTTACAGCCTGCAGAAGCTGGGTGAGAGCAGCTGCTCCAATAAAGGTGCTGAGGAGCCCTTCAGCAGCAGCAGCAGCTCTGCACCGTGAGCTTTACAGCCCTGCAGATCTCTGGTGCTCCAGGAAGATCCAAACAACCTCTCTGCTCCATTCCTGCCAGCCCTGGGGGCCACCGAGTCCCATCCTGTGACATCCCATGGCATCCTGGTGGCATCCCCCAGCCTCTGGTGCTGGCATCACACCTGCCCTGTGCCAGCCCTGTGCCATGCCACTTTCCCCTGACACCTCAGTGTGCCAGGTACATCTGTCCCCAGCCTTTTGCTTTGCCCCCAGGGCTGTGGGGGCCACCTGGCCAGCAGCGTTTTGGGCAGCCCCACGTTTTGGGTACCTTGGCAGGTGAAGCAGCGGATGTGGAAGTGGTTGCTCTGCACTCGCACGACCTCGCCCTTGCAGGTGTCCCCGCAGCGGTAGCATTGGATGACAGAGGAGCTGCTCCCGGAGCTGTAGGGGTTCTGCTGGTAGGGAACTGCTGGCAGAAAGGAGGGAGGGCAGGAGGAGAGAGGGGAAGGGTCTGTTAGGGTTTGGAGCACAGCCGGGTGTCTGCACTGAGCTCAGTCTGGTGGTTGTGGCACGGTCATGGGACATCAGGCCAGCACCAAGGGCAAGGAACAGCCACCAATGCCTGGGATGGGAACCCAGCCCTGTCTGGATTTGGGATTTCCCTACCCCACAAAAGAGCCCCTCCCCATGCCTGGCTGAGCGGTTTGCAATCCCCAGCTCTATGCAGTGCCCGTAGCTGGGAACTGCTCCCTGTCCCTCACAGCATCACCCCAAAGCCACGCAGAGCTCCCTGCGTGCTCTCCTGTCCCCACAGCAGGTGCAGGAGGACCCTGCAGGGTCCAGTCCCACTGCTCTGCTGACCCGCCCTGAGACAGCCCCGCCAGCCCTGCCTTGGCAGCGGCGCAGGAAGGAACTGCTGAGTTTTTGGAGCTCCAACTTGTTTGCTCAGGAACTGGAAGAAGAAGTCATTTGTCAAGGAGCTTTCAAACATCACAGCAATCGAGTGCTTGGCCCTGGTGGGACCGTCACCTCCTCGGCARGGAGCAGCATCCCAATCCCACGGCTCCTTCCGGAGCGGCCCCGTGGCGCGTGGAGGGTCTGGAAGGAGCTGGGGCTGCAGGGGAGTCCAAAAGATGGATTTTTCCCGCTGCAGGCAGTCCTGGGGTTCACCTGAACTCCTCAGCCCTTCGGGGAGCAGCACAGATGAATCCCAGCAGCCTCACACCCCACTCCATGGTGAGACCCCTGCTCCGTACGGATCYTTCCTTCCCAAACCCACGGAGAACACCCGGAGCAGCTCCTGCTTCAGGAGCTTCAGCCAGGCTGACACCACTCAACCACTGCAGGCAGGGGCCAAGCAGCACAGGATTTATTTGCTGTGAGATTTCCGAGAGGGAGTCACACTTTGGGCAGCTCGAGCAGCAAAAAGCAGGATTTCAATGGGCCAGAGCTTTTCTGACCCAGGGCTGAACTGCATTCCCAGGAACAAGAGAAGCAGCTGATTGAAAGGCAGCCTGTGAAGTCCCTCCAGAGCAGGGAAGAAGGGGCACAGGACACAGGAGATCACTCATCAGAGGCTCCTCGCTCACCAAGGGGCAGATCAAGTGACAGGGAACAGAAACAGCCCATTATTGGCTTCAAAAGCCAAGCAAGAGAAGTCAAAATGACATTGAGACTGTGTCACAGTMAAATCCCATTCCCCGTGCCAAGTGCCCGGAGACAGAGCCCCGCTTCCCTCCGGGAAATGGGCTGACCCTCCCTGGGCACGGCTGTGGCCCTGGAGCTGCTGGGAATGGGCTGCCAGGAAAGCTCCGAGTGCCCTCCTGCAAAGCTCAGGCTCCAGCCTTGACTTCCAAGAACTTCCAAGAGCTGCTGGAACTTCCCTTCCCTGCAAGCCAGGAGCTCTCAGAGGTACCTGAGAGACTAAAGGATGCCAAGTGCCAGCAGAGGAGTGACAAAACGGGAGCCAGGCTTGGCAGAGACACTAATTAGTCTCAACCTAAATCACTCTGAGGTCCYAAACACACCAAGGGAACAAGGAATCCCCACCCAAGAGGCACAAGCCATGGGAACGGGAGTCCAGCACCTCCTGTGATGGCTGTTGGTGTAAGGGGTGCCCAGGAGCTCTCCCAAGTCTGGAATAAACGGGGGATCCCCTCTGTAGGGGTGTCCAGCAGAGCAAGAGTTACAGAGCTGAAAYTGCCTCCCACGCACCCACTGCTCACACCCTGGCCCAGAATGAAGGCCAAGCCAAGCCCTGGGTCACAGCCATGGAAATCCACACTGCTGGGGGAGGAAAACAGGACAGAGGTAGAGGGGAAAGCCAGGGATTCATTCGCAGTAAAGAAAGGGAGAAGACAAAAATAATAATCTGTGTCAGAAAATGCAGGCAGCACTTAGTGCCGGCTGCTGGTCTCCAGGGAAAAACTTCCCGGTGTCCATAGCAACACATCGCCAAGCCCTTGCTCGGTCTGACGGGAGGAAGGCAGAGGGAGAGGAGCTGAGCATGGAGGAGATGCCTTTATCTGTGCCCCACCACGGGCAGGGATGGATGTTATCAGCCCATGAGGCTGTGCCCGTGGGCACGGGGCACCATCACCCTCCTCCTTTACCCAGCGCTGCACCCAAAGCTCCCTGATTYGCGCTTAACCCCCAGGCCGGGCTGGAATTCCGTGCGGGAACATTGCTGCATTGTGTGCCTGAGTTCCAGGCAGCAGCTGCCCGCCTCGTGGCCCCGTGCAGGAAGTATTACACATCGCACAGCCCCGAGCACAGGGCCAGCAAAGCGGGGCAAAGCTCATTACACCCAAATAATCYACTAATAATGTAAGTAGCATTAGTGGCCTCGCAGGCTGGGAGGCAGCGGGCAGCGAGAGGGGGTTGGGAGCTGCCCAAGGAATGCCTTAATCTGCCCCCAGCGCGCTCCTGATTTGTTTGGAGCTGGTTTGGCTGACAATTCGTGCGTTTGTGCTCCACTCTCAGCGCTAAATTTGCCCGGGGTCGGGCTCCTGCGGGGCTGTGCCCGTGTCCCGGCTGGTTCTCCATGGGCACAGCCGGGCTGGGAACGGCCACGGGGCTGCGTGGGCATKGACAGATTTCCCCTGATCCGGATTAAGGTGGCACCTCCGGTCAGGGATTGGTGCCCTGCGCGGCCCCAGGGTCAGGCAGCGGTGGCCGTGCACAGGGAGGGTGTGACCCGGGCAGGGGGACAAACCCCAAACAGCCCCACARAGGGGCTCTGCCAGCCAGGAGAGCACAAGATCTGTGCCCACGGGCTGCTCCAACTGCAATTCCCCCGTGCACCCCCGGGCAAKCCCCCTCCTTCGTTTCGGGAGGGTCAATGACCTTGTTTGTCTTCCTGTGCTCTTCCTGCACGGTGTCCAGCGCTCCAGCAGGATGGGGAAATGCTGACCCTCGGGAACACTGCGAGCCCGTCAGGAGTGCAGGGATGACGGGGTAATTTCCATCTGCTTTGGGAGTTTGTTGCTCACCAGCACCACCACAAGTAACTGCACAGCCCCAAGGGGTCTCCAAACAAACTCCACCAGCTGGATTCCCCCCAGGCCACCCCACACACCCCAGCAGCAGCAAACCAGGAGCACCCTGAGACATTTCTGGAGATCCATTTTTCCTTCCTTACTGGGCCCAGAGCAGATGCTGCTTTTTTTCCCCACTCCTCTCCCTCACCCAGTTCGAGGAAGGGAGAAGCTGCTCCTGGTGGTGTTTGGATCCGGGTGGGATTTGGATCTGGGTAGGATTTAGGTCCAGTTGGGGTTTGGATCCGGGTGGGGCTTGGAATCGGATGGGGTTAGGATCCATTTGGGGTTTGGGTCCAGGTGGGGTTTGGGTCCAGTTGGGGTTTGGGTCCAGGTGGGGTTTGGATCCAGGTGGGGTTTTCAGGTCCATGGAGGGTTTTTGGATCATTATCCACAGGCACCTGGGAGCTCCCACCCAACTCACCCCATTCACATGTTTGTAACACAGCATCTCCACAGGAGGATGGGCACGSCTGGCTTAATTAACTGCCAGTAATTAATATTTGCACAGTGCTGGGAGAGCCACAGGTGAAGGGCACTGTGGAAAAGCAAAGCACTCACCCTGAAATGAATAAGGAGAGGCGGTGCCACTGTGGGGTGCTCGGGTTGGTGGGTGCCAGGGGTGGTGCAGGGACCCAGAGTGGGCACCTGCAGCAAGGGGTGAACAAGGGGGTGCCAGAAGGGGATCCAGCTCCTGGAATTTGTAGGAATATGGGGTTATCAGTATAGGATCCAGCTTCTGGAATTTGTCGGGTTATGTGGGTACCAGAAGAGGATCCAGCTCCTGGAATTTGTAGGGAGATGTGGGTGCCAGAAGAGGATCCAGCTCCTGGAATTTGTCGGGATATGGGGTTGTCAGCATGCGATCCAGCCCCCAGAATTTGTAGGGATATGTGGGTGCCCGCATGGGGTGGATCCAGCCCCTGGAATTTGTAGGGATATGGGCTTGTCAGTATAGGATCCAGCCCCCGGAATTTGCAGGGATGTGTGGGTGCCCGCAGGGGATGGATCCAGCCCCCGGAGTGCTGGATGTCATTTGGATGCTCGGGGAGCCGGGCAGATGATGCCGGCAGGAATATTCACACCTCCCCGRGGCTGAATTCCTTCCAGCAGCTTCCCACTGCTCCCTGCTAGCGAGGAATTCCCCACCCCATCCCCTGCGCGGGCCCTGGGGCTGGAAATCCTCCTGTCACCCTGCGGGCGGTGGCACCGGCGTGGYRYSGGCGGGGTGTGGGATGCATGGGGTGAGGAGAGCTGGGCATTCCCGTGGCATTCCCATGGAATTCCCATGGCATTCCCGTGGGCATTCCCGTGGCATTCCATGGCATTCCCGTGGCCATTCCCGTGGCATTCCCATGGGCATCCCCGTGGGCATTCCCGTGGCATTCCCGTGGCATTCCCGTGGGCATTCCCATGGCATTCCCATGGCATTTCCCGTGGGCATTCCCGTGGCATTCCCATGGACATTCCCATGGGTATTCCCGTGGCATTCCCGTGGCATTCCCGTGGCATTCCCGTGGGCATTCCCATGGCATTCCCATGGCATTTCCCGTGGGCATTCCCGTGGCATTCCCATGGACATTCCCATGGGTATTCCCGTGGCATTCCCGTGGCATTCCCGTGGGCATTCCCATGGCATTCCCATGGCATTTCCCGTGGGCATTCCCGTGGCATTCCCATGGACATTCCCATGGGTATTCCCGTGGCATTCCCGTGGCATTCCCGAGGACATTCCCGTGGGCATTCCCGAGGACATTCCCATGGGCATTCCCGAGGACATTCCCGTGGGCATTCCCTTGGCCATTCCCGTGGCATTCCCGAGGACATTCCCGTGGCATTCCCGAGGACATTCCCGTGGGCATTCCCGTGGGCATTCCCTTGGCCATTCCCTTGGCCATTCCCGGCGGGCACAGCCTGGGAAGGGCCGGTC